TGCCGACACAAAATGGGACACATCCCCCGTCGGAGATTCCCCGACATAAAACCCAAAGTAGATGCTGTATTCAACGCACCCCCTCCCCTGCTCTGGATACCTTAACATCAATCCACCACCTCAGACATTTTCCCATTAGGGCGCATTGCATGAGAACCACTGGATTAGAGTTTTTTAATCTCATAACACTTTTATTAAATCAAGTCTGATTCGAGAAGACAGCCATTTAATGATGCGAAGGTACAGAGTAGAAAAACGGACATTAGAACCACTTTACTTTGTTTATGGTTCATTTTTGTAAGCATTCATACTCCTGATGCTTTAGCGAATCGTGTTCAGGTTTAGTAAAGACCACACAGACGCTCTGGGCAGCTCAGGGTGTCCTAGATGTACCCTGTGTTGTTCTGTAACACACCACCGCCTGCAGGAACTCGTACGTTGTACTTGTGTGTCTGTATTTCCAATTTGAGTTCCAGGAATAAAAGACTCCTTTGCACACGTGCACACTTGGGAGTTTGTTTTCTTCAAGTGTGCAACAATAAGAACCTGAACACAGTTTCTAAATTTACTGCTCGCTCCAGTCAAGCATTCACCGTGGATTAAAAAAAATAAAAACACTCTCAGATACGTTTCACTGTCATCATTTACTGGAATTTCATGCAAAATGCGAGAAGGAAATAATTAAATTAATGAAATGATGAAAGGTTTATTACTTCCTGAATGGCGACAGATCACATCTATTAGCGCGCCAGCTTGATGATGTATCTGGTGATGAGCTATGGCCAAGTAATGACATGCTCTGCTAGCTGTGAATCTATAGCTCTCCTCACAAGTCTACTCTCAGGCTTCCAAGCTCTGGATGGAAAACCACAGCCGCTAAATCAAATCCATCCGGATGTAAAATGAGAAAGAAGAGATGGAAACAGGAAAAGTGTGAGGGCAAAGAGAGAAAAAGAGAACGAGAGAGAGGTTGGCTCTTTTATTGAGAATTTAAGAGAGAGGAATGTGTTGGAGAGGGGACAACTCAACCAGGAGTGACTGAACAATAAGGTCAGTGTGACCAGAGGAGATTCCTAACCCACATGCTCCTCTTGCACAAGCACACAAACAAACACAAAGTGCAAACAAAGTGAGTGACTGAGTGGAGGCAATAGACCGTGCCCACCCTGTGAGTGGCTAATAAGTGTGGCACCTCGCCAAACCCACTGTCTCCTGACTAATTCCCCCATGCCCGCCAGGACTGGCGCCGCACTGCAGAAGAGAGCTCCACTTCTCCAGAAGTCCTGTGATCACGACATGACTAAATAACTCAAGCTGATGAATGAAAACCCAGCCACACAGGCCATCCAGCGAAGCTCCCCTCCCACAAAGAATGAATGTCATGAAAAAAAGACAACGAGAACGCCTTTTTCTCTAAGCGTTGTCTTGTGGAGTTTTTCAACTTTGTGACTTAATGTGCACACCTCAGTGTCCCCTTTGCTAAGCTGGAGAAAGAAGGCAGTGAGGTGATGCTATTCTAGTTGTTGCAGTGCCAAGAATCCTGGTATATGGTGGTCTTCAGAGGCATTTTAATCACCCTCTCTCTCTCTCTCTCTCTCTCTCTCTCACACACACACACACACACACACACACACACACACACCCACACACACACACACACACACACACACACACACACACACACACACACACACACACACACAGGCCCTTCCATCTGCTGTGCTTCACAGAAGCCGAGGCAAGCTTGTCACTGTCACTGGAAGTTAACCCACCCTCCCTTTCCCGCTGATAGGGACAAAAGAAAAGAAGCTAAAGGAGAGAGTGGAGAAGGGGAATCCAGCAATGGCGTTCCTAACTATGTTTTTGCTTTATTTCCAGAAACATTTCCTGTTGCTTCTGCCTTCACTTTTCATTTTTTGTCTTTAAAGTCGTAGTTGACTGATTTTTTTTAAATTATTTCTAATTATAATTGTCCCTCTGAGTTTTTCATGCAGACTCAGCATGAAAACAGTCTCCTAAACCAATCTCCTGCATTAGCTTCTGATAGAAAATAGATGGTGAAATACTAGGATTTGAAAATTCTCACATATCTATGTCACACTGTGAATTTGCATTCATGGCCACGCCCATCCTGGCTCACGCCCACCAACAGTAGAGCTTTTTTTGTTGCAGCAAGGAGAGAGAGCGGAGAGTGTCTTGGTGATGGTGGCTTTGCAACATGGCTGAATGTGTTCTGCTAGCCAATCAGAAGCAAGGTGTGCATATCATGAATAATAATGAGCAATCTGGCTGTTTTCAGCCCACCTCTGCACCAGCAAACTAGCAAACATTTTAATGACTCATAAGGAATTGATTTACACTAGAGAACACTGCAAATGCATTGAATAAACCAGTAAACCACACCTTTAACTCATCTCCTCTGCACGCCTCTCCTGCTCCGGTCCTCCTGCTACTCTGCTGGTTGACAATCAAGGGAAAGACGAACTTCTGTCACCTTCCTGGCCCCCATCTATAATTTACGTTGAAGGTCTTCTCCAAACTGATTGTCTCTGATACTCACGCATCCTCCCGAGCTCTAACCAGTACCAGTTCCACTCCCAGAGGGGTCAACTGGAATTGCATTGAACTGGCCAGCAGCCAGGTGTTCAACATTACCAAGTCTGCCAAGTCCAGCTGTGCTATCACAATCAAAGCACACTCTCATGACAATAACATCATCAGCACGTGTGATTTCTGTGTCAGGACACACACACACACACACACACACACACACACACACACACACACACACACACACACACACACACACACACACACACACACACACACACACACACACACACACACACACATTCATATAATGTGAATATGGCTAATTGAAATTTATCCAAAAGACAAGGGTAGAAGGTGGTGGTAAAACAAAGACTGGATAAAACTGTTTAAAGGAGAGCTGCTTCTACTTTTTTACCCTCTTTGAACAAATGTTGACCAACAGAGACAAGACAATGTCTTTATTTCTTAAACCTCAGTATGGATGTTCCTTTGGCTCAGATTAAATGATTTAAACCAACCAGTCCTTGATTCTGTACCTCTATTTCACTCTGAACACTGCAAGCATCCTTTATGCCACGTTTCGAGCCTGAGTGGAGGAAATGGACCATGTCATGTCGGTGGGAGCTGCAGCACAACGTTTATGATGGAGATCATTTAAATAACTCATGAAAACCCATTTTAAACCACACTCGAGTTCTGGGAGGGTCGCTGGAGTAACGCGTCTGAAGATGTACGGTGGTCCCCATTTCATGGCTGTTTGATCAAGTGCTTTTGTGGTTGTGCACGAGTGTCTCTGTGTGTGTTGCTGCACACGTGTGGGATCCGTTGGAAAGGAAACTCAAGATGAGATTCTGTAAACGACAGGAAGGGCCCTCGTGGCGAAACAGAAAATAGCCCGGGAGAAAAGAGGCAAAAGAGGCCTGAACATGTGAGCTGTGAGCAAAAGAAGCAGATCGGAAAAAGAAACAGTGAAAAATGAAATGCAGAGAAATGGGAAACTTCCCAGTGTTTATGAGGGTAAATATTTGCACGTAAGAGAAAGAAGAAGAGGAAGAGAGGAAGACAAGAAGCAGCCTAGATGCACTGATGAGAGGAGACAGCCACTGCTTTTCATATAAACATGCTAAGCTCCAAAAATCCACTGCAGTGATGACTTCCTCCAGGCCACACTCACACACACACACACACACACACACACACACACACACACACACACACACACATACACACACACACACACACACACACACACACACACACACACACACACACACACACACACACACACACACACACACAGTAAGCAGCAGAGAGCTGGTAAATGGTTCCTGGTTGTGCCTGTGCGTTTGCAGGTTTGCAGGTTTGCAGTACTAATAATTCGGAGCAGTTGCTATAAAATGTTGCTGTCAATGGATGGCGAGGGGATCGCTTCCATGATGCATTTGCAAAACAAACTGCAGGCAAATACCACAATCTAATCCACGACATCATGTGTGGACAGATGATTGAGATCCAACCAGATAGGAAAGAAGAGTTAGAGCTGTTTGATTGAGAAGATGATAGATGTTGAGAGTATATTTAGGGATTGAGGATGTTAAGCCCTAACATGAAAAATGACCAAAGTAGTCATTCTTGCAGCTTTTTCGGTTTAGGTGTCAGAGCCACCTCACCCCTCTTCTCACTCTGGTGTTTCTCTACTTCCTGTGTTGCGATAAAGCAGGGTCAGAAAGATTTCTCACAACAAACAAGGAAGCAAAGATTCGATTATTTTTAAAGTGAGAAGAAACATTCTGTGGTAACCGAGGGCTAAACCACAACATCTATGTATGTCTTGAGCGAAACCCCTTACACACAAACTGGCAGCAAACAGAAATGTAAATCTATGAAATTTACAAGTCAGATAAAGCTGGTAGTTGATGGGAAAGTGACGCAAATGTGTTTGCAGCACAGGGATATTTAGATCTGTGAAGGGAAATAACTAAAACATCATCTATCTGTTTAGAAGTCTGATCAACAGTGAAAACAATTCTAAAAGGTTGACAAAACTAAATGCAGATCATAAATACTGTTAGAATGAACCAGGTTTTGTGTGTAATCGACACTTATGCCCAAATATGTAGAAGAAATAAACATCTAACCTAAAACATAGCTCATGTAGCTTCCAAAGGAGGAAAGACATTAATACATGGAGTTATCTGAGTCATAAAAGAATTGGTGCTAGCTTACTGCATGCTCGTTTTAATTATGAACAGCAAAAGGATCACATTTTAGTGTCTGCATGGTCAACAATGTCAAACTTTTTCATCTCTCCATGTGCATCACATCTTTGAGGATAAAACAGAATCACTCAAAAAAGTTAAAAAAAAGTTTACAAAACGGTGGAAAAGAAAACAAAAATAAAACAATAAAGCATGAAAATGGATACAATTTGGAATCAGAACACTCACTGGAATGTTGATGGTCAGCTTTCTCGGCCTCTAAGGTCACCGGGCATGAAGACGTGCGATCAGGCACTGCAGGCTGTGAAGGCCTCAAACCCGAATCCACCTCTTCAGCAGTTCCAGTTGCAGATGTAGTTCCTGCCTGGAAAAAATGAATGCATCATCATTTGAACGGTATGCATTGAAAATATCCACTATTTTAAAAGCATTCTTCAATTGTTTCAGTGTTTTAAACTCTACCTCTTCTTTTACGTCCCTATGAGACATTCTGATATTTATTAATCACACCCCAAACAACAAATGGCCTGTTACCTCGTTATCTAACTTTAACTAATTGGCCGACCAGTCACAGCAGACGGGACATCACGGGTTGACTTCAAGAAACATAGAATTTCAAACACAGGAAGTGCTGATGTGATTTGCATTGAATGTGTTATCCAGCATCCACATTAACGTAAAGTTGAAGTGTACGATTCTTGTAAACACAAAATAAACCATCAAAATAGGCTGATGTTGCAAATAATGCGATTAATTCAAGACATTTTTTGTCACTGCTGCACCCATTTTTAGCTGCTGTCAAAGCACTCAGATTTCTGCTATAAAAAGAAAACAACTAAAGGGGATGCGGCTCCGGGTGAAGAAGTGTCCCTTCCCTGAAGTGACAGAGCTGCAAAACAGACAGACATAAAGAATCAAAGACGGAGAGAGACGCAGAGAGAAAGGCTTCGGCTGACAGACCCAGTCTTTATGGATGTGCTCTCCTCCGCACAGCTGAGAGAGGAAGGAGGGACAACTTCAAGAGAGAGACAAGCTGACCATGAAAAGCAGAGGGTGGCTGTCAGCGTGGTGAGAGAGGGAAGTGGGGTAGATTAATGAAAAGAAAAGAGTCTGTGATGGCTCCCTCCGCTGACGAACAGCAGAGAGACAGGCCGGGGAGGTGCGGCGTATCTTAAGACAAAAAGGCACCCTGGGCTTATGAAATATACATAGCTCTCAGCGAGAGACAGAGACTCAGTGTGACAGAGCAGAGGAAGGCCCTGAAAACTGACAAGGCTCGGCTACTTCTCCTAAACACACACCACTAAAAATAAAACATACGCACACATTTCTAATGAATCCTCATGAAGAGCCAAGGGAGTACTTAGTGTTTTTTCTTTTCCCACTGAGTTAGTCAGTATCTTCTTTTTTTCGAGTTTCTTTTTAACAACAAAAGGAATACAGACTCCCCAATTACCAAACACCAACTCCAGTAAATTAACTTACTGAGCACAAATCGAAAGAAATGGCATCCATGGAAAGAAGCGGTGTTACGACACACTGATACAGCCAATATGTGGTCATTGATTCAAAATGCAAGAATCGATACAATAACTGTTTATCAAACACACTTTTATTTTGAAAATTGCTTTATTTTAAAGTTACGCTTCCGTGACGTTTTCCCCCTAAAATGTGGTAAATGAAGAAGCTAGCTGCGGCATAGCGATCAGTGAGAAAACAGAGAAGAAAATGTCTCTACCCAAAAATTTGTTAAAATTACCACTGTAGCTAGCTAAAACAAAGCATGCTCCAGATGTTTCTTTGTGAGCTTCTCTTTTCTCTCTGCAGATATCATGATTACAAGAAAACCTGGAGTAAATGCCCAATGCGGACGGAACCAGCGGTCGAAGGTTAGATGAGAAGTCCGGGAGAAGCTAGCAACCACCAGGAGGTAGCCAACACTGAGCGGGCTCAACCCAGGGTTCTAAAGGGCGCCATAGTGGGTCCCCTAAAAAGGCCCCAAGGGGGGTCCTTGTGATGCCCCTTAGGGAGGCCCAAGCCCAGACCCATAAGGGGGTCTAAAAGTTTTTGTTTGTTGTTTCAATATTTAGTCGGTTTATATTTCATGTTAGTTGTTTTCTAAGAAAACCAAATGAAGTTCAATTATTAAAAACAAACAACCAAATAAAGAAACTGCCTTTCTCCTGGGAAATTATTGTGTTCAATCAAATCAAAACGGCATTGTGACTGAATTGAGACATCAAACCGCAATCCACTGTAATAATTTAAACTATCATATTGTGATCAAACTAGTAATTTACACCCCTACTGGACCCCCACCCCACCATCCCCAGACGTCAACTCCTGAGGGCTTAACTTACTTCTCATCTCATGTGATTTTAATGTTCAAAGCAGGATTTCTAATTCATTGACTACATAATGTTAATGCCACCCACTAGTAGAACTGACGCAAGCTGGAAAATAAACTAATGACAAAATAAAATGTGAGTCAGGACAAAAATGGACTTTGTGGACATCAGTTGCTCTTTGGCATACGGAGTACAGCAGGCTTGTGTGTTTATTTTTGTAATATTCCAATTTCTTATAAAAATGTATAATTGACTATCTGACAACCTGCTTATCTGGAGAAATAAATTATTTTTGGGGGAATTGTATTAATTTTCCAACTGTTCATTTGAATAAGGACGGGAAATCTTTTCACACATAACCCCGAGAATGTTTTAACCATCCGCCACCACCATCAGTCCAAGAAATAACCCCAAATAATCAAAGAGGGGGTCTTAAGTTTGCCTGTATTTGTTCTAGAATGTCTGAGATATTTTGTGAAAACTTAAACAGTTTAATACAAGACCAGAACAAATTAGCTGGGATTATCTCACACCCGTCACAAGTTGGGTCCTCATCGATTCTCATCCTAGAAAGTCTGTCTTTGGACCAATGGACTCCATGCGCAATTTTAAAATGCATCACAGTATGTCTGACGACAGTAGAAGAGTGGATCCCTTTTATCATCTTTGGCCAGTTAATATGAGTAACAGTCTGCTTTTTTCCTTTTAATTTTTACTCCTGACAAAGAGATCTAGAAGTGACTCAACTGGTCAAACAGAAAAATGCTCTGATTTTGGAGTACATAAAACATCTTAATTGGAGAAAAACTAAATAACTGTGACTTCTGGATGTCAGGATTTTGCATTGTTCAAAAAATATATATATTTTTTTCATATACAAATCACAAGTTGCCTCCAAGAAAAAAAGTTATTTAGGATTGAAGGAAGGGAACACATGAACATGTAACTATTGGCATCCAGGGATATTTCAAATAGACTGGAAAACAACTGGAATTGCTTGAAGATTTTTGCTGGGTGTATAACAACTCAGTTAATTGGGACAGTGAAAAAAACCCATATTTGATGATGTTTGCAACTAAGAATCACTACAAGAAAAGGTAACTTATTTAAGTTTTTCTCTATCAGCTACTTCATCTGTCAACCAGCACAACTGCTTTAATGTTAGCTGCACAGTAATAATACAAAAATCTTCGTCAAACATAGGTTTTGATCGTTTGAATACATTTTCATATAACCTCGATTGCTGTTTAGTTAAATGAAAGTGAGAATCTATCTTTCCAAATCAAAAGGAAAATCAAGAAAAAAAGAAAAGTGTGACTGCATCTGCTCATGCATACAGGTGTTTAAGGTGTGTCTCCTTCCTACAGTTAGTGGACAAAAAAACCCACAAGTCTTTCAGCTGTTGGCCCACATGTAAATTTGTCAACTGGTCAGGGGGATTTTTTTTTTAAATTTGTTTCAACTGCCTTTTTCAGACCTGCCCACCTGCTGTCTATTCAAGCCCAGGCAGCTGCTACTGCTTCACCAGCAGTTTAAAAGCACTTAGACCTCACTTATCAATAAACTCTCCCTTTATTTAAAGTAACGAGCCACATCTCCTAAGCAGTCTCTGCAATTGCCATGCCACTGAATTATTGGGCTTCTCATGTGATTATGTGCTACAGGAAGAATGTCACGAGGTAGGTTCGCTTCTTTGCTTTATTGAGTTTCACTGTTTGTCTTCGTCACCTGCAATCTGGGTGTGTCTCCACAGTCTACATCCTTTACCCGTCATGTGAACACAAAACGTCCAAGCAAATAGTCACGTCTGAGCCTGGGGATTAGGTCAACTGCAAAAAGCAAACAACCTGATTACAAGTTTTCTAACCCCTCTTCTCCTAAAGCCTCTTTGCCACCAGTTGTTTTATCTTTGCTGTTAAAAAGTACCAAGGGAAGGTGTGTCGTCTTACTCTGGTTGGGTTAGGGTAAGGGTTGGGAGTACACAGCTCTGTCTGCTAGACTCGCTTATAAAGAAAAAGTTAACATTCAGTTAAACCTGGAAAGGTTTAGAACAGCCATAAGAGTGAAGAGGAAGCACAACAGATGCTGTGCTGAGTACACACTGATATAAATGCCAGTGTCGGTGTGCTAATTTGCTAATTATCAGGTGATTTTATTAACAGGCTATAAATGGACCCAAAAGATTTCTCCGAATGAGTCAGTGACCAATGACAGACAACATGACAGTTTGTCGTCTAAACAGAACAGGATGCTACATCATCCTTATCTCACCTTAACATCTCTAAGATTATTAACAAGTAACAAGATATCACTTGATTTTGAAGCTTTGATAACTGACTTGGTGGAGAATCCATAGACGTGTATTAATTATTTGATTATATCCAAACACAAACACACAAAGGACACAACTAACGTTCAGAGAGTGGAAATAGCCGAACATCTATTAACGTGAGTCCCAGGCTGAGGCCTTCCCTGGAACGAGCTGCTAGCGCTAGTTCTGACACTCATGGTCAATCAAACTTTATTACTCATAATTTCAAGCATTTAATTAACATTTTGATGCATGAATTAGGAAATATTGAACTATAATTTTTTCTAACAATTTTTTTCATTCATCTTTAGGTGTGAATGAAACAAATTTCAGCTTTTTTTTTTTTTTGTAACATTTAACCATTTACAAATAGTTTATGACATGTCCACCTCAGTGGACAGCGTGCATTCTGAAAATGAAATATGTTGGCTTGACTTACGGAAGTCCAAATGGAGGGGCTCAAATGCAATAAAGTCTTCAAGAGCTGTGCTTAATAGTAAAAAATAAATACATAACACATTTTGAGTACCTGTCCACTGTAGTGACCACTGTGCATCAAAGGGTTAAATGGAAAAGTTACAAAAAAAATTTAAAAAATTCACCTCCCTCAGAGTTGTCATGACTGTAAACTCGATCTATTAAATTTAAAATGTATTTTTTACATAGGCCGTAAATATGTTTATTTCTGCTGTGAAACTGGCATTT